GAAAAGAAGTTAAAACGCGATGTACAAGAAAACCCTGACCTGAGCTAATAAATGAAATAAACAGTTTGTACGAATTTTGCACGATCGTACAGTCGTGGTCACTATGCTCGCTCAAAAATATAAAATACAACCAGTTCCCGTGTCGCTTCGGACCATTCGTCCTACGACATGATGGGAACCGGAGGAATCGTAAAGCATGCGACTCACCGATTGCTGACTTGCGCCACTGCGATCGTTTTACCGGTAAGGCATCTGAGACAGCACGATTGAGAGGCATTGCATCTTAGAGGTTGATTGGTTGTTTGATTGGTTGGCTGTTTGATTGATTGGCTGCTTGGTTAGTGGACTGCTTGACTGCTTTGGTCAGACTTGGATGTGGCGGTTTGGCAGTGGACCTTCTGTAATCATAATAGAATCACAACGATTAGTTAACTGTGTTTGATTTGCATTTTGATAACATACAGGTTTTTTTCGAAAACTACTTGTACAAACATAGAGGCATGCATTGGTTATAAATTTGCAAACGTTTGGCAACGTGAAATATTGTAAAATATTTAAAAATGTATGTAGAAACACTTGGGTAATTACTTTAGAGAGCATGGTAAACGTTTGCAAAAATATAACGGAACAGGTAGGTAACTACACTTTAAACATCAGTAACAGTTTGTCAAATCATTTAAATAACCACTACATAAAGTATACTATAACACCAGTAACCGTTTGTAAAAACATTTAAATAACATCTCTATTAAATGCACAACACCAGTAACAATTTGTCAAAACACTTAAATAACAATTGCATAAAGTACACTAAAACACTAGTAACAATATGTCAAAACACTTCAATAATCATTGCATAAAATACACTAAAGCACTAGTAACAGTATGCCAAAACACTTAAATAATCATTGCATAAATTACACTAAAACACCAGTAACAATATGTCAAAACACTTAAATAACAATTGCATAAAATACACTAAAGCACTAGTAACAATATGTCAAAACATTTAAATAACAATTGCATAAAGTACACTAAAACACTAGTAACAATATGTCAAAACACTTCAATAATCATTGCATAAATTACACTAAAGCACCAGTAACACTATGCCAATACACTTAAATAACCGTTGCATAAAGTGCACTAACACCCAATAACAGTTTGTAAAATCACTTAAATAATCATTCCACAAAATGCATTAAAACACAAAAAAATTAATAAAACATTTAAATAACCACACCATAAAACACACTAATAAATCCGTATACACTTGCACAATCACTTAATAAAACACACTAGTAAAGTCACTGACACTTGTAGAACCACACCATAAAATTTGTTAATACACCCCCATAATTAATAAAAAATATTTATTAATGCACACTAAACACTAGTAGTAACACACTAGGTACACTAATATATCCGTATATGCATGTAGGAAACACACTGATAAAGTCACTGACACTTGTAGAATCACACCATTAATTTTATTAATACACCCCCGTATTTATTAAAAAATATTTGTTAAAGCACACTAAATATTAGTAGTAGCACACTAGGTAACGTAGGGACAAGCACAGTATCGGTAAAGTAAATCCTTGACTCGTACCGGTAAGTGTTGACAGGCGACATCCGACCTCCTTGGCTCGCGAAACATAACTGAGCGCGCTTGACCTCCCTCCAGTGTGAAAGTTATTGGTAGTTTACAGTAGCCAATTAGACATCGTAATAATTCACCAATAGATCTAATTCGATCTCTGCAGGTGTGAGAGTGATTGGTAGTGTACAGTAGCCAATTAGACATCATGTAATCCACCAATAGCGTGCAACCACTATGATTGGATGTTGTATAATTATTCTAACACTAATTTTTGTATAATTTTATATTTTTCGATCGTTTATTAACAAATTTATTGTTACAATTATTTAAATTTATTATTTTTTTAACTTATTCTTGCAGATATGTTGCAAAATGATTGTTAATAAATATTTTACGATATATTTTATTGTAATTAATAATTTTTTTAGTTATTTATTTATGAAATTATTGTTGTTACTATTCAAGTTTATCTTTTTTATTAACTTATTCTAGCAGATGTGTTGCAAAATGATTGTTAATAAATATTTTACGATATATTTTATTGTAATTAATAATTTTTTTAGTTATTTATTTATAAAATTGTTGTTGTAACTATTCAAGTTTATCTTTTTTATTAACTTACTCTAGCATATATTTTGCAAAATGATTGTCAATTTATTTATATTTTATTGTAACTCATTATTATATAAATTAATTATTGTAATTCATTATTTTTATAACTTCCTCTCGCGAATATCTTGTAAATGATCTACTAATTATTGTATTCAAATTTATTTTTATGTAATTCTTTGTAATTATTTATTACCGAAAAGACTCAGTATAGCATGCGAACTGTTTTGAACACATAATAGTTTCCTATTTTTTTTAAAGGTTACATTCTTATATATTTTTAAAAATTCAAATCTATGCGCGGTTTTTTAAACAGTGACGTCATCAACAAGAATTGAAGTAGCGCCATCTCTCCGGCGAACGGGGTGAACTACACGGTTTTGAAACTGCAGTTTCATTAGTTCCCCACACTGCCACTGGACGGCGCCACGTGTATCTTCCGTTAAATTCAATTAAAATAGTTAATTTTATTAGTATAATTAATTATGATATAAATCGAATTACATCGAAATGCAAAGTACAAATTGTATGAAGGAATAAATTAAACTCCACAGTAGAAATATACAGTAACATTTTTTATACAATAAATATTTAAATATATTAAAAAAAAATATATAGTCATTCACTTTAATTCCTCCATTTAATGGAGGGTAAACGTAATGCACTTTCCGCGTAGAAGTATTCCTCAGATTGTGGTTGTAGTTTGGTTTTATATTCCATTAGTGCAGCACGATCTGCTTGTTGCACAAGTATCTAAAGAACAGATCACATTATTGATTGAACCAGTTATAAATAATTAGATAATTGATACACTTACGTCGATTGCTATTCTAAAACAATGCATATTTTTTGCTAATTCCAATCGCTTTTCTACATTGTCCACGTATTTTAAATACTTTTCGAGAATAGCGGATGGAGCCTTATTTTTCTGGAGTATTTTAAGTATGTCTTCAATGGGCAAATGAATTTGTAACTTTTTACTATTTAACCAACCCTATAAGTTATTAATAAGAATTAGTTTCATTGTGATATTTATATAAGAGGCATATAAATTAAAGATTACCTTTGTTAAAAGCAATTTGTCAACGTCTTCCCATTCACCGGCTGCTGTTCTAACTTCCAGTGCAACTTTTTGGTATTGTCTAGGAGATATTTCATGTTGTTGAGATAGTATTGCAGGAGATATTAATGTCCCTTCTGGTACATTCCAGTGATTGCTACATGCATATCTCAGACAGTCAAGAACAGATGAATTTAATTCAATATCTTCATTACCCTCTACCTTCTTTACTACCATTTGCCATTCTAATTAAATCATCATACATTGTTAATTTTAATTTCAAATTCTTACATTGTTCAGATACTGGAAAAAATTTAATTACCTAATAATTTTATGTAAGATTGAACAAATGAAGCTTCTTTACAGTCAGTCAAAGCTGAAAATTGTGTCTTATAGCTATTTCGAAGTTTCTGTAACAGTCTGTCTGGATCTCTCGTATTTTTTATTATAATATGTAAAGTTTTCATCTGGAATGAACTATAACTAATACAACAATGTTTCACATATAATTAGCAAATTACATGTAAACTTACGGCAGCATCAACTGTTTGACCCAGCATTCTGTGAAAATCATGAACTAGTTACAAAATGCAAACATACAATTTGTTTATAGAAACAAATAGCAATACATACGTCAAAATATCAGTAATCTCATTTATTTGCAATCTTGTAGAAAGATATTTTATGTAAACATTTACAGCATCTGGCCTTTCAGCTAATATTCGTTGAACCAAAGATCTCTTGAGAGTTTTTGTTAGAAACAAGATAATCTGAAATGATTTTCATGTATATCTATAATTTTTACAAAACATCAGTTACAATGATAAAAAAGAAATTACAACTAGTATTGCGTTTCCATCTCCACTTATTATAGCCGCATCTAATAAAGAAGTTTTACAGGCAAAAGATTTATATGGCTCTAAAGAATAAGGCTGGCCAAGTAAAATTTTCCTTAAAGTTATATCTGGCTGTGTGGCAGTTATTTCAGGTTGGAGATTCTGCAATTTATCCATTGCCAAAACTACAAATAAGAGAATGTTTGTACATATTGCATCTTTCTCATAATTTACGATCAATATAAACAAACATAGAATCTACTTGAAACATTCTGAATATTGACTTGTATAGATCTTTACTGACATACTGCAAGATAATGTTTTTTCAGAGATAACAGATAGCATCGGTTTAAGTGGCTGATAATCGCTGGCAGTTTTCAAAGAAGCCTCTGATGTTGACGCATTTGATATACCAGCCCACAGTTTATCCGTATCAATCTTTGATACTCCAAATAGTTGATCCACCTAGATTATTGTATATAACTAGTATTATAATACTTATTCAGAAAACTAGTATTAATAAAGATATTTTACAACCTAACCTCATTGTTTTCAAAACAGAAGGATCGTTTCTCACTGCTATACCAAAAATCCTCGTCGTCTTTTGCAGAACTCATATTTATAGTGATGTAAAAATTAAGTTTATGTACTTATTAAATAAATTATAGGCTTGAACACCAAATGTTTTGCGTTTGCGACGGTCCTTAGTGATAAGACACGCAATATCCTTTAATAATAAATGAGACTAACGTATATACGATTGAAAGTATTTTTATTTTAGAGTGACTATAATTGTTGAGAATTAAATGTTCAGATATTTTTTTTTCAGTTCTTAACAATTTGTTATTTATTCAATTTGACTAACTTTGAAAGGTTCTGTATGAGTTAATATTTGTCAGTACTGTTCTATCAGTATGTTTCTTATTTCAATCATACTTAAAAATATTTAAAGTAATAAATTTCAGTAATGACAATATCTTAGAATAGAGATAAGACCACAGTACGTATAGTGAAGGGATGAAAGAATACTCAGAACGCAACATACGATCTATTTATTATTTACAACAACGTATCAATGTTACACAAAACGTACCACATCGTTTTATTTAAATCACTTATCACACAATTTACAAAACATCGCTCACTCGCTCGCCATTAAGTTCAGCTCGGTAAATGGACTGCATTTAGAACTCGTTCTCAACGGTCACAGAATTTCGTACGTTTGAAACACGCGGGCCGAGAAATCGCCAAGCGCGGGAAACTTTAAAAATGGATTCTCGAGTGCGCGCGTCTTATCACTTTTAAAATCGATTTTATCAAGTCGTTCGCGGTAGTTTTTGAATCCCCTTGTTTACGTATGTTTGTTTCCAATCACGTTTAGTAAAAAATCCCAACATTTAATCATTTCGTTTAAAACATCAAATTAAATTTACTCTACATGTTACTTTCTTAATTGTTTATACCAATTTATAAAATTTTAGAATTCAATTACTTTAAAATAAATTAAGAATAGTGTTTATTGAATTCTATCGGGCAATCTTATAAATGTTTATAAATAAATTACCGCTGTATAGTTGAAAAATTATGATGTATATATACAGTTACGATTTAAACTTTCAGAATAGTTTGTTTAAAAAAAGACGTATTCATTAGGTCGTTTATATTGTCGATCATTCAGAATGTTCAAGGAGATTTAATTTTCACTATTTCGTCGTGTTTTTTATAACAAATAGTGGACACAACAATTATTGAAAAAAAGAAAATTATGTCGTCAGAGACTCAATTTTGCCCGAGCTTGATAAAATTTATTTAGTAAAAGTAAAATCGAGCTTAATAGGGTAAATGTATTAGTAGCTGACACTGTAAGACTCTTTTATTTTTTAATTATTATCACAGTCTCTTTTCTAGTAAAAGATTTTAACAAATAGAAATTCTCAGATAATTTACCAAGATTTTATTATAAAAAAAAATTGAACTTATTTTTCAAAGAGTGCAATATTTAAAAAAAATAATTATTTAACGTGAAAGAAAGTAAAAGGGTCAGCTACCAATACAGTTACCCTAAACATCCCCCAATCGAACAATAATAAAATCTTTAAAATATTTCACATCATCAACGATAAATATTCTCTGTCGAATAAGAAAAATGTACAACTAGCATTCTAAGGTGGGCAATAAACTCTCTCGAATAAAACGTTAAAATATTCCGGACCGTAACGAATGTACTTTAATTAAGGGGTTCGTTTTCGGCCACTAAAATCTCGCCTGCGAGAAAGAAAACGCTGTTTAAAAACCAGAATACAAAGATCACTCTTCTCCTCGCGAACCTTCGATCGGTGGTTAAACATTTTAGAACAACTTTCGGTGCACTCCAACTATCGTTCGCTCATTAAAACTTTTTGCTATATTCCCTCGTTAGATTTATCGTTAATATTGCGGTTAGAAGTTTGGGGTTCGTTTTAGGATCCTTATTTTAACGCGACGAAATTTAAGTGGTTTTTGGTGCTTTTTTGGGTTATTGGGAAATTAGGGGATAAGGGATTTAAGGGTATGGGGATTTAGGGGAATGGGAAATTAAGGGTATGGGGATATGGGAGTATGGGAAATTAAGGGTATGGGGATTTAGGAGAATGGGAAATTAAGGGTATGGGGATTTAGGAGTATGGGGATTTAGGGATATGGGGATTTAGGGATATGGGGATTTAGGGATATGGGGATTTAGGGATATGGGGATTTAGGGATATGGGGATTTAGGGATATGGGGATTTAGGGATATGGGGATTTAGGGATATGGGGATTTAGGGATATGGGGATTTAGGGATATGGGGATTTAGGGATATGGGGATTTAGGGATATGGGGATTTAGGGATATGGGGATTTAGGGATATGGGGATTTAGGGATATGGGGATTTAGGGATATGGGGATTTAGGGATATGGGGATTTAGGGATATGGGGATTTAGGGATATGGGGATTTAGGGATATGGGGATTTAGGGATATGGGGATTTAGGGATATGGGGATTTAGGGATATGGGGATTTAGGGATATGGGGATTTAGGGATATGGGGATTTAGGGATATGGGGATTTAGGGATATGGGGATTTAGGGATATGGGGATTTAGGGATATGGGGATTTAGGGATATGGGGATTTAGGGATATGGGGATTTAGGGATATGGGGATTTAGGAGTATGGGGATTTAGGGATATGGGGATTTAGGGATAAGGGGATTTAGGAGTATGGGAAATTAAGGGTATGGGGATATGGGAGTATGGGAAATTAAGGGTATGGGGATTTAGGGATACGGGGATTTAGAGATATGGGGATTTAGAGATACGGGGAGTTAGAGATACGGGGATTTAAGGATGCGCGAATTTAGAGATACGGGAATTTATGAATACAGGAATTTAGGGATACGGGGATTTAGAGATGTGGAAATATAGGGACAAGGGGATGCTGGGATTTAGGAGTACAATAATTCAGGAATTTAGGAATACAAGAATTTAGCAATATGAAAATTTTAAATCTGAGGATTTGAAAATATTAAGATTTGGAGGTTTTGGGGGTTTGGTATTTGAAAATTTAGGAATTAGAGAATTTAAAAATTCGGAAAGTTAGAAATTAGGGTATTTCAGAAATTTTTTAATTAAAAACTTGAGAATTTAGTGATTTGGAGAACTGTTAAATTTAGGGATTTACTAATTCACTCATATATCTAATAAAAAATTTGCAAATTAATTTTTAAAATCCTACCCAAACGTTTCACCCAAACTTCCACTAAAAATCCCTTCAACTAAAAAACCATCAAACATCAATAATCGCCTCCAATAAAAAAAGTAATACCCTATCTTTAAAATGATCGCTTTAAAACGCATCCTATGTTGGCTACCGAAGTAAAACCTCCATTTTGGTTCTCACCGAAGTAAAATGAAGGATTGCTTTAATTCTTAAAGCATGTTAAAATTATGTATAATCGCATGGAAATCGATAGATGGAGAGCACGTGTCTTTAATCGGAAGTACACACACACACAGATGACGAGCATGAACAGCCGAAATGGTGGACGGATGGCTGCTTCGGATACGAGATGTTTCTTTCATTGTAAAGTTAAGAACGAGTCTGGACGATTTATGCCTCCGGATTAGAATGCGAACCCTGCCTCACCATAAGTTTCTCATTGCACTTCACCAACCGGAAACACGTGTTTCACTGCATTACACGTGTTTTGCAAACGAAACTTGAATATATACTCGTTGCTCTTTGTTTAATTTTCTTCTTCAAAATAAAATGTCTTTGAAAATAAGCTTATATGTTCTTCAAAATTATACTCTGAATATATATTTAATAAATAATATGACAATTATTTGAACATTGAAGAAAATTAATTTATAGATTTAATAAGAAATTTGTAGTTCAATTTTTGAAGATGGGTAATATTACTCAGGTGGATTTGAAGATGTCAAATTTATTTTCTGACGTAACTAAACAGAAATCTTGAGATGTTTTTTCATTTATTTTTGATTTAGAGCCTTCAGAATGTGTTCTGAAAATTTTGTGATAAAATTAAGTGCAGAAAAATTGTAAAAAAATTATTTTGGCGTCTTAGTATCCTTAGTAGTGATGGGTTCGATTTCAAACAAGAGATTTTGTCACAATTTTTAAGTAAGTTTTAAAACTTCCAAATTCTCACACATTCAAGTTTTCAAGTGTACAAATTTTTAACTGTTGAAATTTCCAAGTGAACAAATTTTTAAATGTTGAAATTTCCAAGTGAACAAATTTTTAAATGTTCAAATTTCTAAGTGAACAAATTTTTAAATGTTCAACTTTCCAAGTGAACAAATTTTTAAATGTTCAAATTTTCAAATGTTCAAGAATCAAAACTGTCGAATTTCTAAAATTTGAATTTACACAAACTAAAGAAAGTTGCTAAAAAAAAAATCTGTGAAAGAAGCAACGAGATACATTTCTAAAAAACAATAAAAAATAATTTTTAAGAATTGCAATAATTGAAATGCAGTCGGTCAGTGTATACGTGAAGTGACACATAAACAATGACGTTCCATGTACACGAATGTATACACACATAATCTTCACATCTGTGCAATGGACAAGTCGCATATGTGCGTACGACACGCACACAGAAAAAAAACACCAACACATGGGACGCGATCGGACACCCACGCGCATACAGAGTGTTTTTAAAAATCTATCACACCTCGAATCGAAGGTACTGTGTTGAGCTCGATATTAATTGATCTACCAACGATGCGCGTATTTGCATACTGTTCTCTTAATAGTCTACTCACATACACTCATTTTTTTATATATATAGTCATTTATATATGTATACCGATCCTAAGTTTTAATTAAGGTTACTGATCGTTTCAGATATCTTAGACATTTTCAAATTTTTTTATTTCTACCTAAATTTTTAATTTTCAGAAATTTTCAAAATTTACAAAAATGAATTTTTAGTGCAAATTGTTAATTGAAAATTTTTAGTGCAAATTGTTAATTGAAAATTTTCAGTACAAATTGTTACATGAAAATTTTTAATACAAATTGTTAAATGAAAATTTTTAGTACAAATTGTTAATTGAAAATTTTTAATACAAATTGTTAATTGAAAATTTTCAGTACCAATTGTTAATTGAAAATTTTCAGTACAAATTGTTAATTGAAAATTTTTAATACAAATTGTTAATTGAAAATTTTCAGTACAAATTGTTAATTGAAAATTTTCAGTGCAAATTGTTAATTGAAAATTTTTAGTACAAATTGTTAATTGAAAATTTTTAGTACAAATCGTTAGATCAAAAAATTTTCAAAGATACAATTTTTAATTTTTAAAATTATCAATTTTGAAATTTTGAAATCAATTTTTGGATTTTTAAATTGTGGGTCATTAAAAGGTTTTTCGCTATATTTAAGTGTGTAGGAGTGCGTCAGAATCAGCGATAAAAGACTATTGTTTCTGGGACAACCGCCACTCGATCAAAAAATCGAAAGAGATACTTGAAACGATCACAGCAGATACACCGTGTATATTGATTAGACAGAACGGTATAGCACATTGACAGAGTATCTCTACGCATAGATACGCTACCGTTCTTCGATTCGAGATGTCGTACACCTATAGAAACCCTCTGTATAAATATATATGTATGTATAGATATATTATATATGTATATATAAAAGTAACTCCATAACATACAATAAATCGTATCTTTCTTTGGCACATTTCGTCAACTATAGGATCCGTACAAGTACACCTATTTTAGGTACGCATACGTCTCTGTATACTTGTCACCTGGTGTATACAAGTATGCATCGTTATATTATATAATACCAACTCGCTTCGATCTCTAATTGTTATACATTACGTGATCGCAATAATACAATATAAAGTAACTTATACGATAAATTAGTACCTGTTCGTATTACAAAACTTCTAATTCTTAAATTGTAATCAGTACCTGATAGTAGACACAAGGAAACGGTTACAAAAATGAGGTAAATTGACTAGCACTGTGAAGAGTAATTATATTATTGCAATCACATTCTGTATGCGGTGTATAATATACAAGTTTCTCAAAGAAGATGGAAACTATAGCAATAGATTCTTTGTAAAAAAAGAAGTCAAAAAGTCCTTTACCGTTTTTCGATACGAGTTCTCGTTACTGAGATACGGGCGGTTGAAGTTTGAGCGCGCCGCTTCCGGTGCGTCAGCTGACCGCGACTTCCGGTCAGTTATCAGTACTCGCGAGCTCAAACTGTAGTCCCTCGTATCTCCCGAACGGAGAGTCGTATCGAAAAACGGTAAAGGACTTTTCGACTCAGTTTTTCACAAGGAATCCATTCATGTGGTTTCCAACTTATTTGCGAAAACTCGTAGAATACGTACAAATATCCCATAACGGGTTAACGATAGTATGTACTTCATCTCTTACGTACATATGTATATGTATATATCTACATTAATCTGTACTTTCCGTATTATTCCATCAGGCCCTATCTACTTCTAAAAAATTATCAGAGGAACGTAACAATCTGTTATTCTCCAATATGTATAATATATATATTTCTATTATATATACGTTCGTGTCGTTAAAACGTCACGCGCTTCGCCGAACAAAGAGAACAGGCTTGGCGAGCGTGGGAGTTGCACTCTCGTGGATTCTCAGGGGTCGTTCTCTGATCCATTCGTCGAGATTCGTCGAACAGCAAACGTTTCCCGGATCGTCTCCCAGCGGGAATCGTTCCACGATTTAATTCGGGGAGCAAACGGAAAGCGCAACTCCGTGGACCCATTCATGAAAAATCCGGCCCGCAGTCGGAATACATATTTTATTTTACTAATATATCGTTCGATACACGACTTTTTTTCTTTTTTTTTTGTTACGTTTTCTTTTCCATTTTTTTTTTAATCATATTTTTATTCTGTTTAAATAAATATATCCACGAACAAGGCACTGCTCGACAGGGGCAAACACGAGTTTGTTGTTGCTGCTGTTGTTGTTCGATGGCTTTTTTCTGCGATGGTTCGCCTCGATCGATGGCTGTCGAGCTTTTTCGAGCCGTTTCCTATCGCGAAACGTCGGGTAAAAAGTGGTCGGTGTACGTTTTTTTTTTTTGTTTAGAATATACCTGCGAGTGTAAAGACGAGGTACTTGACGAGCTGGGGAAGGTTTCTTACTTCGGGACGCGGCGACGATCTTGGACAAAATGGACGCTTTCGAGTATAATCGGTAAAATCAGATTTCGAATTGATCTACCTTTGCATTGTCTTTGATCCTTTGTTTCCATGTTCGATGAAGAACACTAGACTACTTGTGGTTGTTGAAATTAATGAATATGTGACTATCCCCAAGAACAACATCTAAATGTTTCGTGTCATCCTCACCTTGATTGAAATTGAGAAGGAAGATGAGGACATGGCAGTTTACCTGTGTAGGTCGTGTTAACTCTCCTATGGTTCCTTAAATACCTTTCGAAATTTTTAATTCTAATTGTTTAAAAGTTTATGATCATCAGTTGCTATGGAAGGTATTTAGTTTTGTATAACTTTGAAGCAAAAAATAATTTAGAAACTTGAAAGTTTAGAGTCATAATTTTTCGGCAATATATCGAGAGTGAATTGTACCTAAATTCAGTGTAGAGATGTACTGACTCATAGTATTGCAAACAGTATGTATATTAGTCTACATAGTGATACTGCTAATGTGGACCACGTATTCTCACCAGGGAGTCATTTGTCACCTAACCTACTCTACCACCTAACTCGAAACAATCAGATGCTCCGAATTCAGATTTCACCCTAACCAGAATCCTAAGTTCTCATATACTTCCTAACCAGAAGAGCCAAACGACCATCGAATCCCCATCCTCGTCCCGAATTTCCTTCAGGATGAACATAGACCCAACAGTCTGGTCACAGAGAGCGTTTCGCCCACGGGCAGATCGACGTGCGTTATAAAGGGAAGCACTTGGTCCGTTTCTGCGTAACGGCGGATTGGCAGTCGACCTTAGAACCCAGGGTGAAACTCTCCGGCTTCACGGTCTCCTCGACAGAGATCTTCCCGAGCCTCTTCTTCGCTCGGAAAGGCGTTGACCTTGGGGATATGATCTCGTAAAGATCGCTGGTTCTACTCTGAATCTGAACCCTGGCCTTGGGACTAGCCTTCTGATCGATAGGAATCGCGATGTCCACCTCCGCGCAGTGATTTTGGCTAGTCCTCTTCTGGACGTCCTTGTCCAACTCGCTGCCGCGTTCCTTCCCGCTCGTTTCCGTCGACGAGGTGTTGAACACGTCCGACGAGCAGCTCTTCGAGTCGCAGATCAGCGCGATGTCCGAGTAGTCCGCCTCTTCGACTTCCGAAGGCAGGTTCCTGGCGGAGGCCAGCGAGATGGTCCTAGCCTCTGGCTTCTGTGGCTTCTCCTCGTCCGCGTAGTCCAGCGACAGACACTTCTTCTCGAACAGAGCTGGCCCGGGGAGCTTCTTCTCTTCAGCGTCTTCCTGTTTGTCGTCCTGACCCTCCTCCGTACGCTCCAGAGAATTGATGACCTTCGACGGACGTCGAATGCTGTTCTCCCGCTCAACTGACAGGCAGAATTCCTTGTCGGTTAACAGGATGCGTTTTGGCTGACGAGTGGGTTTCTTATCTAGCTCCAGGTCCTTCTCCCACGACGGGGTCTTCAGCAAGCTCTTCACCTTCCTTAGCTCTGTCAGCAGGTCCATGGTCTCCTGAGAAGGCTCGTGGAAGATACGTCGCTTGGGTCGTCTTATGGACGCGTTAGTATCCGACTCTTGGTCGCTAGGATGATCTATCTCCTGCTGCTTCTTCAGTACGGACCTTGTTGTGCTACCCTGGACTTGCAACCTGTCAGTCTTTCCCTCGTTGGTGTCCTTCGAGGAGTCTGGTCTCGTTTCATCCTTACTCTTTGGATCTTCAGTGTCAACGTTCGCCTTCAACCTTTCTTGTCTAGCGATTATACTCTGCACGGTGCCTCCTCGTGTCCGGCGCTTGAAGTCTGCATACGTCTCCGTAGGTACCTCATGGTGTTTGAACTTGTCCTGCAGCTGCTTGAAGGTTTCTTTGGTGTATTCCTGGGCGATGTGGTGCGCCAGCGAGTCTTCGGATGTCGTCTCCCTCTTGTGCACTTGGTCCTCACCTTGGTACATGGACGCGGCCAGAGAACGGTCTTTGGACAACAGATTGTCTGAGGAGATGCCTCGTCTTTCGAACTGCTTGTGACTGGGCTTATCTTCGTTCTTCGAGTACCTGTTCAACAAGTCCTCGTACGTCTGTCTCCTAGTCTTTATCGGGGAGCAAGTCCTCCCCGAGGTGTCAACTTGCGAGTCCTCCGGGCGGTCCGGCAGGATGGAGGATATAGGCCGCTTCGTTGGAGAGTTGGGAACACTGTCGTCGCTGCGTGGAGAGCTCTGAACGACCTTGCGATGTGTGGGTGTCTTTGGAGTGCCCGTGTCCTTCCTAGGCTGCCACTTTTTCCTCGGGGAGCTTCCCCAGCTGCTGGGTTCCTTGTCCGAGCCGAAGCTGGTGCTGGAGAAGATAATCTCCTCGCTAGTTGTAACGCGACACTTCAGTAACTCTGCTCCGTTTACGGTTCGCTCCTTCGTCTTTGGCTTCGGTGTCTCATCCGTTATGGTTTCCAATGGTAAAGAGCTAGGACCAGAGTCAAGAACGTCGTCCAGAGAGGCTCCCCGAAGCGGATCTCGAATATCCTTCGCCTGGACAGTGCACTCGAGGTCCTCCGTTTCAAAAGAGTACATCTTCAGCAGGTGACCCTTGCCGGACCTCCTCCTCTCGATGCTGAACGACTCCATCTTCATAACCTTCTTCGTCTTCTGCTCCTCAGGCTTCTTCGTCTCTGAAGTCTTCTTAACCTCGTCCTTACTTCTATCATACCTGGGGGTGTCAAAGGTGAACTTGTCCAACGTCTTCGAGGAGCCTATCTTGTCAAGGAAGGGCTTCTCGACGGCCTTGCTGGGTCCGATCTTCTCCAGGTACGGCTTGCCTATGATCTTCGGCGCCAGCTTCGCGAGGAAAGGCTTGTCCTCCGTCTTGGATATGCCGATCTTCTTCAGGAATGGCCTCTTCTTCTCCTTGTCCTGCGTCCGCGTGTTCTCAAACGAACGGTCGCTCAGCCTGTCGTTGCTGTAGTTGGACGAGTTGTCGCTGCTCTTGGATCTGGCCCGTTTGTTCCGCGGGTGCGGCGTCAGTGGGGTTCTCGGTGTGAGGGACGGACTGGGTTCCTGGTTCGGGCAGGTTTCGTCCAGCAGGGCGATGGCGTCTCTCAGGTCCATGTAGGCCTTCCTGGGCGCGGTGCTCACCGAGGGACGAGGGTACTCGCTCTCGAAGCTGCTGTTCCTCGTCGAGACAGCCTCCGGCCTCATCTCTGTTTCTATGTGGGAGTACGAGGGATACGAGCCACGATCGCCCGCAGGTCCCGGCGAGGAGTCTATGGTGGGATAGTCCTCGAGGTACCACGGCGTCACGCCAAGGTCCTCCGGCCTGGCTGCGCCACCGTGGCCCACGTTCTTGCTGATGGCGCCCCTGCTGCTCGACGACGTCGACTGCTGGTCCGTCTGCGTGGCGCTCGACGACGTCGTCCCCGACACACTAGCCACCATCTCATTTGGCGTACTGATGCTGGTCACTTGTCTGCGGTACCCCGAGCACATGGCGAAGTACGGCGGCGCTGGTCGTGCTGTCTCCACTATGACACGGCCCTTCGCACACGGCACTATAGGCTCACCATCCGCTGGGGCCTCCTCCGGAGTCAGAGGCAACGCCGCTCCGCGACCAAACTCGATAAACCACAGCTCGTCCCTCAACTCGCTTTCTCACTTTTTCTCGTTCATGTCCTTGTTCAGGTAGTGTAGCACGTAGTGCAGCACCAGGTCGTAGCAGTATTTGTATTCCGTCTGGAACGGACAAGATGAATTGTGGATAGTTCTTGTAGATAGTTTTTGGTGCTTGGTATATATAAATTGTCCCACCTAAGTGGAGCATCTATGATTTCTATGAATCGCAAATTTCTATGAATTTGGAGATTGGATTGCAAATATGGACAGAATCATATTGCTACAGGACATTTAATGACGATAAGGTTTATTCTTAAGCCATGATTATCAAGGTTTGAATGAAAATTTAGATGTTCAACTGAAGTGGGGCACTGTACAGATGTGCAGCGAGCTCTTATCAAATTAGACCCTCATTTAGCCTTTGTCCCTGTAACCTTTGAGTAATTTTAACACGGCTGGTTCTGAATGCATAACCTCTGTTATACCTAAAGTCCTTTCTTTACCAGATCAGATATTGATCCATTCCATAACAATAAAAGAACACAAATATACAAACGTGCAAGTCACCTAATAAAAAACAATAAACCTAAACGATAAAATATCCAATTATCTCATTCCCCACGATATCCACTTTGTTATAACATCTTCTACGGTTTAACCCTCAGTTAAGCGAAGAAGTATCAGAAACCATAATATACTCCATAACTCCAGGTATTTACGAGCATTTACCATGTTCTCTACGAGCTGAGGCCTGTGCCTGCGTACGGTTTTAACTGCCTGGAAAATGTCCACTTCCCCATGTTGAATGACCTGTTCTATGCACGCGTTTGCGGCGCAATACACGCCGCAACGACTTCTCCCATCCGGCGAAACAACGGCGACAGGTCCATAATCCGTTCGTTGCCTCCATCTTTCAACCATGTTCATCAGCTCCACCAAACTGTTCGTGGACGTTGGCACCTTGTGACCCATGGGCCAGCAGGTTAATTGAAACAGCTGAACCGTCTTTGGGGGAGCTTTTACTCCAGCCATCAGCTCGGTTAGGGACACTATTTTCTTGTTTATCCTGAAAATCTGTTGGGAGAAGGCTTTGATGCGATTTTTGTGGTTGGTGTTATGGTGCGAATTTTAAATTTGGGGTTTTAAGGAGATGGACATTAAAGGATTTGGGGATTTAAGGAGATGGACATTAAAGGATATGGGGATTTAAAGAGTTGGAAATTAGAGGGTTTGGGGATTTAAGAAGTTGGAAATTAGAGGGTTTGGGAATTTAAGAAGTTGGAAATTAGAGGGTTTGGGAATTTAAGAAGTTGGAAATTAGAGGGTTTGGGAATTTAAGAAGTTGGAAATTAGAGGGTTTGGGAATTTAAGAAGTTGGAAATTAGAGGGTTTGGGAATTTAAGAAGTTGGAAATTAGAGGGTTTGGGAATTTAAGAAGTTGGAAATTAGAGGGTTTGGGAATTTAAGAAGTTGGAAATTAGAGGGTTTGGGAATTTAAGAAGTTGGAAATTAGAGGGTTTGGGAATTTAAGAAGTTGGAAATTAGAGGGTTTGGGAATTTAAGAAGTTGGAAATTAGAGGGTTTGGGAATTTAAGAAGTTGGAAATTAGAGGGTTTGGGAATTTAAGAAGTTGGAAATTAGAGGGTTTGGGAATTTAAGAAGTTGGAAATTAGAGGGTTTGGGGATTTAAGAAGTTGGAAATTAGAGGGTTTGGGGATTTAAGAAGTTGGAAATTAGAGGGTTTGGGGATTTAAGAAGTTGGAAATTAGAGGGTTTGGGGATTTAAGAAGTTGGAAATTAGAGGGTTTGGGGATTTAAGAAGTTGGAAATTAGAGGGTTTGGGGATTTAAGAAGTTGGAAATTAGAGGGTTTGGGGATTTAAGAAGTTGGAAATTAGAGGGTTTGGGGATTTAAGAAGTTGGAAATTAGAGGGTTTGGGGATTTAAGAAGTTGGAAATTAGAGGGTTTGGGGATTTAAGAAGTTGGAAATTAGAGGGTTTGGGGATTTAAGAAGTTTGGAGAATTTGGAATTTGGAGAATTTGGAGTTTGGAGAATTTGGAATTTGGAGAATTTGGAGTTTGGAGAATTTGGAATTTGGAGAATTTGGAGTTTGGAGAATTTGGAATTTGGAGAATTTGGAGTTTGGAGAATTTGGAATTTGGAGAATTTGGAGTTTGGAGAATTTGGAATTTGGAGAATTTGGAGTTTGGAGAATTTGGAATTTGGAGAATTTGGAGTTTGGAGAATTTGGAATTTGGAGAATTTGGAGTTTGGAGAATTTGGAATTTGGAGAATTTGGAGTTTGGAGAATTTGGAATTTGGAGAATTTGGAGTTTGGAGAATTTGGAATTTGGAGAATTTGGAGTTTGGAGAATTTGGAATTTGGAGAATTTGGAGTTTGGAGAATTTGGAATTTGGAGAATTTGGAGTTTGGAGAATTTGGAATTTGGAGAATTTGGAGTTTGGAGAATTTGGAATTTGGAGAATTTGGAGTTTGGAGAATTTGGAATTTGGAGAATTTGGAGTTTGGAGAATTTGGAATTTGGAGAATTTGGAGTTTGGAGAATTTGGAATTTGGAGAATTTGGAATTTGGAGAATTTGGAATTTGGAGAATTTGGAATTTGAAAATATTAGAATTTGGAAATTTGGAAATCTGACAATTTGAGTACTTAGAAACTTGCAACTGTGAGAATTCAAAAATTTAAAAACGAAAAATATAAAATTCCCAAATTCCAAAATTCCCAAATATGAGTTTAAAAATGACAAATATGGTAACTTAGTCTCACCCATGTTTTGATGTTGGTATAGTGATTGTGACTGATGTGATCAATGGTGAAAACAGGTCCGTATTTCTTCGAGTGTTTCCCCTCGGGCCAAAAGCTGGGGAAATTGGTGGAGCCGGGCGGTGGTACACAAAGTACCACTACCGCTGCACACTCGTAGTCGTAAACCAGCGACCAGAACTCACCGCACGTGTGTCGAAGTGGCCATTCCGTTACAATATACTCCCTGGGTTTCGTATAACCCTGTCGAAAATGTACTTTTAGAAACTATATAGATATTAGCTCGTGATAACTCATCGGAAACAATAGATGAAAACAATCCGGTTTTTATCTGTGTAGTAAAAAACTGTGCTAAAAACTTTATTGACCGGGAAGATCATTGAACAGATCAAATGTGCTATCATATTTCACTGAGGTATCATTTTTCATTGCTTTTAAAAGTGAAACGTGATACTGTTGATGGCTGACAAAGTGGCAGCTGTTTCTTTAAAATGTGTTTTTATGGTAAATAGACATTTAAGGCAAATGTTAAGGTTTGAGGGTGAATTGCCAAGTGCCATCTTGTCAGCTCCAAAGAGTTCACATGCCATCTTTTCTCCTCCCAAGAGTTCACGTGCAATTTATATAAATAAAAAATGAAGTAACAGTTGACAGAGGAATTTTTCTCGTGTAATTAACAAACTTACGTCCACAAAAACAGCGTTTATGTAGTCAGTGTAACTGTTACCCTGGAAACTGGTGAGGTACGGTCGAAAGTTGTCAGCTAAAAAACATGAATCGTTAAAAGTGACCATAAAAAACTTCTATTATATTATTAAATACTTTAACGATTTAAAAAACTGTACTTGTGTTTCTGGACTTACGTGGCACTACCAAAACGTCCCTATTCTTTTCTCTGTTGTCAGCCCTGTGCCCTCCAGCGCAATCCCCGATCGTAAAACGCGGCGTTTGCTTACAAATCTGCTGATATTCTCGTTGGTATTCATTCATCTTGGTTATGGGATTTTTTATGCTCTTCTGCTTGAGACGCTGGGATAGCTCGGAGACCGGAAACCATGATGTGCCGCACACTACGAACTCCTCCAACGTGTCGTACACGAATTTGTACTGCTCCTGGGATAGATTTTTAACCAAAATTTAATCAACTTGTTTCATAAAATTTTGGAAGGGTTTTGGATACAATTTTAGTTAATCCTGGAAGCCTTTCAAATTTTTGTACTTTACATACATTATTAATAAATTAAAATTTACTCTGTTAATGGACATGTACACTTAACTTCTTTATTTATAAAAATTTAACAAAATGTGTCTTAATATGTGAGTCATTTAACTGCATCAATAAAACACATGTCTCATATGTTCCATGTGTGAGTCGCCTAATCATATGAACAAAATACTTGTGTCTCATATGTTCAACATATGAGTCATTTAACCACATCAACAAAATACTTGTGTCTCATATGTTCAACATATGAGTCATCCAACCACATCAACAAAACACATATGTCTCATATATTCCATGTGTGAGTCACCTAATCATATGAACAAAATACTTGTGTCTCATATGTGTAACATGTGAGTCTCACCCAACCACATCAACAAAACACATGTGTCTCATATGTTCAACATGTGAGTCACCCAACCACATCAACAAAACACATGTGTCTCATATGTTCAACATGTGACTCACCCAACCACATCAACAAAACACATGTGTCTCATATGTTCAACATGTGTGTCATCCAACCACATGAACAAAGCACATATGTCTCATATGTTCAACATGTGTGTCACCCAACCACACGAATAAAATACATGTGTCCCATATGTGGGTCTCAAATGTCCAATATATAATCCACCCAGCATCATCGATCACGTATCAAAAAAGTAGCCACATGTCTTAAATATTCAATACCCGTCTCACCTAATCCCATCAATATTTTAGAGAGGGACTCAAACATCCAATATACGACACATTTAGCCCATCATCAATAACGTCCAACATTCATCGATAAAGTATCAAAGAAATAGAACCGTGTGTCTCGCGCGTTCAATATATGGCACATTTAAGTCCATCACCCATAACAAATGTCGAACATACGCTTTCGAGTCCATCAATAAAATATCATGGAAGTTGGACCGTGTCTCGCGAGTTTAACATATGGCACATTTAACCTTATCATCAATAACGTTTCGAAGAAGTGAAATATCGAATGGACACCTAACCCCATCATCAATAACAGAAGGAAATATGCGCATACACGATATATGGCACTTTATCGAGCGTGTCGAGAATGATACACAAAGGGTTTCCTTTTGAATGAATAAATTTGCTGGAAATCAAATTTTACCGTTTCGAGGGACTGTCAGAACTCACCAAGTTCTCGATAAGACCTCTTCTGCTTTGCCTCAACTTCTTCAAGTAGCCGAAGACGTCGAAAGCGTCCTCCTCCTCGGCCAGCTCCATATTTGCATCTATCGCCAAGTACACTCCTGATCTTCCTCCGCCGTCACTTCGATGGAGTACATTTTCGTTGAATATTTAAGATTTATTATGTTCCCACCGGATATTGGATACTTACTTGCAGTGAACTACCATGGGACCCGACTCGTTCTTTATGGTGGATCCGACCACCGCTCTTACTCGCCGGCGGAACTCTAAAACCGCGTTTCCAAACGGACACGTGTGCGAATGCCATTCCGTATAATGGAATTGTAACAATGTTCTCTCCTCTGTGATTTCCTGAAATTTCGGGGGGAAATTTATATGAATCGGAAAATGCTCGTTCATATGAAAATATTTGGGACATTTAATAGGTGCAGTTTCCATAAATTTCCATTTGTGTACTTGTGTATGTAGACTCTTGTTACATTGCCGCAAACGGGGTTATAGGAACGGACAATTTTTGGAAGTGGACAGAATGCGGTAGCAAATCTATGACAATATAACGCGTGGGAATTCAACTCGTGGCAATATAACGCGTGGAAATTCTACTTATGGCGATATAACGCGTGGAAATTCTACGCACGGCGATACAACGCGTGGGAATTCAACTCATGGCGATATAACGCGTGGAAATTCCATTCGTGGCGATATAACGCGTGGAAATTCCACTCGTGGCAATATAACGCGTGGAAATTCTACGCATGGTGATGTAACGCGTGGAAATTCCACTCGTGGCGATATAACGCGTGGGAATTCCACTCATGGTGATGTAACGCGTGGAAATTCTAGTCGTGGCAATATAACGCGTGGAAATTCCACTCGTGGCAATATAACGCGTGGAAATTCCACTCGTGGCAATATAACGCGTGGAAATTCCACTCGTGGCAATATAACGCGTGGAAATTCCACTCGTGGCAATATAACGCGTGGAAATTCCACTCGTGGCAATATAACGCGTGGAAATTCCACTCGTGGCAATATAACGCGTGGAAATTCCACTCGTGGCAATATAACGCGGGCGATATAACGCGTGGG